GTGACGTCTTATTCGACAGAAAAATACGGTAATATGTTCTCATATTGTTCTTTTAACAATAAGCTACACAATGAACTGTCATGAATCGAGTCCCGGATTTTAGCATTTTAAATCCGCAAACTTACCGCTGACCCATATTGTGTACTGCAAGAAACAAATAATTTTTCATACTTGCCAGTAGGTGGCAGGCTTCTGCAGCTCTTGTGACAAGTTCTTTCAGAGAAGAATAGACATCGTACACATCGTTCTAAACAGTGTCTTCTAAATTCGAAATAAAATTACAATTTTCAATAAACAATACAACAAAACAGTCACACTGAATGCACATTATCTAAGAATGTACCATATGAATTTATAGATAGTCTATATTTGTCACGTGAATCAGAAGATGATGTGTATTTTTTCTATGACTGCTCTGTCTGTAACATACCCTTACTAATAGAGTTAGATTATTAAGTAAAACAATATAATGAGACTAATGGATTGTCTTATGTGATATTTACTATTACTCTACGGATTATTACTCCTTGACAAGCTTAATCGGCCCGGCATGGCCAGTGGTTAGGGCGCTCGACTCGCAATCTGTGGGTCGCGGGTTCGAATCCTCGTCACACCCCACATGCTCGCCCTTTCAGCCCTGGCGGTGATATAATGTGCCGGTCAATCCCACTATTCGTAGGTAAAAGAGTGGCCCAAGAGTTGGCTGTGGGTGGCGATGATTAGCTGCCTTCCCTCTAGTCTTACACTGCTAAGTTAGGGATGGCTAGCGCAGATAGACCTCGTGTAGCTTAATCACCCTAATAATTTTAACTTGCTTGTTTTGTCTTTCCATTAATCTTTAATATTCCTCTCCAACTTTGTTTATTTTTTACAGACTTTTTTTTATAATAAAATAAGCCCCTCGGTGGCTCAGAGGTAAGTCTGTGAGCTTATAACGTTAAAAATCGGCAGAGCACATATAGCCTATTGTGTAGCTTTAGCTTAACCATAAACAATATAATAAATATAAATCTACATATAACTGAATAATTGTGACCTGGATGTTAAAGAGCTGTAGAAATGAAAACTTTATTCTCAGATTTTCTTTTTGTGCGTTTTTAAAGATCCCGAAACAGTATAGGTTGTCATATTTTCTGCAAGTTATTCGATAAATTACACAGGCCTGCGATGTTTTTTTTCTTGTCTTGAAATTTTAACATGTTGTACAGTAATTCCTGTACGCTGAATTCGAAAATGATATCCATTTTTCTCCATCACATACAGATTTTTCACAAAAAGTCATAACGCAATACATAAAAGAAAGAACACAGCACGTAGCTCTGAGACTAAAAGACGTAGATTTCACACAAAAGTCAGGATGAATGAGGATATATATTCGTTTGGCATAAGTTTTTTTTTTCCATTTTCTTCAGTTTGTTTGTATTTTTATTAACAAACATAATAATAAAAAATATTCATTGTGGTGAACGAAATAATTATTTGATCTAAGTAAGAGTTTTTTTTTTCCACATTTACAAAAAAATCCTTACATGATATAAAAAAATCAATATTATTTTCGAAATCTGCGTAGCTGAATTATGTAAAATCTGTTGTTATTTTGGAGTAAATCAATGAAATGAGTAAATGATCCTTCGTGAAATTTTTACCAAATGTTCATAATATGTTAAAATCTATTGAATCAATTTGTTTATGAATATGTAGTAGGGTTAAACTCGAACTATTGTAGATTTAAAGTCATACAAAAGCCACGTAAAATATTGCAAAATATACTTAGACATTCCAAACAAATTCATATCCTCAAAAATATAGTATAAACCCCAATAAACGGATAAAATCCCAACCTGTCTCAAATGATTTAATTTAATGGCTGAAAAGAAGTTAGAGCTCAATGTCAGACATTTAGAAAGAAAGAAAAAAGCAAAATGTTGACAGAAATAAAGTAAAAAAGGTTATTCTTTTATTTAATAATGATGATAGTGTGTTTGAATTTGTAGGACAATGAGGTCTCGCCATCTATTGACATTTCGGAAAAACAAAATCATAAATTTGTTTTTTGATCGTTTATTTCGTGGACTACATACGACCAATAACATTCCCACCTTCCCCTGTTCTAGCACAGCATTTTTAAAAGACAGTCGTTGTTTTCTTGGCTTATCAACGCTCTGAATGTTGTTTAATAAATTGGATCACGGTGACTATTACATTTTTGTTATAATATGATTGGGTGTTTCCATTCACAAGATACCTATCTTTAGTTTTAAGAAAATCGTTAAAACTTTTTTGTTCGATTTTCACTAAGATAGATTAATGAAGAAATAATTATTAAGGTTTTTCTGTTGTGTTTAAATGAAGCATACAGACTATAATTTAGATAAATATTTATATTGTTTGTATTTACAAAAGAAAAAAAACAACAAACTAATTGCTCATAAAAGTAGAATAAAACACCCCTGTAGTATTGAATAATTATCAAGTTGTCCCCCTATTTTCTTTTACGGTTGCTGTTTCTAAGCAATTACATCAAGTGAATAACATTCTCTTAATCATCATAATGAATGTTTGTGACAGTGTCACCTAATGTGTGTGTTGTTTGATTCCTTCTTTACCATGATATTTCTACGCCGAGCATAATATTAAAACACATAGCAACATGATACTTAAAAACATGCATGATAAAAACAATGGTAAACCACATTAAAAAACCTTGACAACACCCTTTCTGCCTGTCTAAAACGACAGGGATTTATCGGGATTGTGACAACAGTGTAGTTTTTTTTTAAATACTGTTTTTCTACTGTAGCGCCACCTGTAAGATATAGAAAGTACTTGGAGATACGAAACTTAGTTCCTTTTCATTTCTGAATTAATTATATTTATCTTTCATTAGTGTGGCTTAGTGTACCGAACTGTGAATCTGAAAGTACATGGTTCATGTGCCGTTGCTGCAGAAACGCGATCTACACTTTAGGATTATGAGTGCCTCATAAGAGTAACAGTCAAATCCTACTATTATATTAGTTTAGCCTAAGAGTTGGTGGTGAATGCTGTTAACTTACTACTTTCTCTCTAGTCCATCGGCTCAAATTTGGGACAGTTAGCGCAGAAAATAGTCTTGGGTAGTATTAAAAACCTACCTTCTATTTCCTAAGTTCTTTCTCTCTGTGTGTGTGTGTGTATGTTTTACTGTTTTCACTCATGATTCAATTTACAATAAAAAAAGCGTTTCCTTAACAAGTTCTGTTCTAGAAATCAAATTAGGCATTCTTGGAGATATTTTCCATTAAAGTAGTAATAAGTTTTATTCTGTAAATAAGGTTCCTTGATGAGTCAGTAGTAAGTTTACGGATTTACAACCCTAAACCGCAGTGAACAGAGCGCAGAAGGCCATTGTGTAACTTTGTATTGAAACAAACAGACATCGTATGAAAAACTGTTCTCTCAGAGAGTAATGACCTCCTCTGGATATTAGATATCATATATCACGTGATAGGAAGGCAACAGCTGCTAGTGACCGTCTTTTTGTATAGAAGGGTGAAGTTTTCCAGACATCTGAAGAAAAGGACGTTTGTAAGGAATTCCTGGTTTACTCTTCATTGGAGATATGAGAATAAAAAACTTTGCCATGTAAGCAAGCTACCAAAAAGTTTCTCAAGACTCCATATCGCTACGCCCTTTCAGAACATTTGCGCTAAACAACATCATAAATAGATGTTACACATTGATGGATAAATTGATAAGAAACGTCTAATTTCTAAAAAGATGACTTAGGGAAATTAGCTAAAATACTTACTGAATAATTTAAACGTTATTCTATATATAAAATTGATTTTGCTTGTAAAGAAAGAAACCGCTCTTTAAAAACCCCCTTTTCACATAATATCAAGTAAAATTTGTTTTAACAAGGATTTTTTTTTAAGATTAAACTTTGAAGTCGTTTTTTATACGTAATAATCCTATTTTAAAATCGTTAATTTAAAATTTTGTTTTCACGTCGTTAAGATTCTTTAGGTTTATTTTACGCAAATTATGCATCCTCACTGTAACTGTTAGCTGCGGCATAGCGGCTCCTAAAATGGCTCTAAGTTTTTTGGTTTTTGTTTTTCAAATACAAACTTTTAGCTCATAACTCCATTTCTTGACCGATTACAGCTGCATCTACTGAGGATTCCCTCTTGTTTTTCAAGTACAAACTTTAAACTCATAGTTCCATTTCTTGACCGATTGTTTTTCAAGTAAAAACATTTAGCTCATAGCTCCATCTCTTGACCGATTTATTTTTCAAGTAAAAACATTTAGCTCGTAGCTCCATCTCTTGACCGATTTGTTTTTCAAGTACAAACATTTAACTCATAGCTCCATTTGGGCCGGCATGGCAAGGTGGTTAGGGCGCTCGACTCGCAAACTGCGGGTCGCGGGTTCGAATCCCCGTCACACCACACATGCTTGCCCTTTCAGCCGTGGGGGCGTTATAATGTGACAGTCAATCCCACTATTCGTGGGTAAAAGAGTAGCCCAAGAGTTGGCGGTGGGTGATGATGACTAGATGCCTTCCCTCAAGTCTTACACTGCTAAATTAGGGACTGCTAGCGCAGATAGCCCTCGTGTAACTTTGCGCGAAATCCATGACAAACATACAAACAAACATAGCTCCATCTATTGAGACCGATTTGAGATCTAATTATAACCTTGGCTATTGAGGATTCGCTCTTGTGTCCTCTTGTAAGTTGCATTTTTATTTATTTTTTGTACTTACGCCAAAGCTACTGAGGTAATCTAGTCTTTCAGCCAGTCACCAGCACCCTAACCTCCACCATCCACGCTAAACGATTGATTGCCACTTTTATTAAGCAACCCCCAGCTTAAAGTGTGTATGTGTGGGGGGGGGGCATTTTATGGTATCTCATGTACATATAGATTCGAATCAGGCTCGCTAGCTCCGAAATCTAGAACTCTACCATATGGCCAACCGGAGCTCTCTTCTCAATAGACCATAATGATAAGGCTTAAAGCACAGATAAGTATTCCACATAAGATCATTCACTGCTTGTAAGCTGTAAATGTAAACAGCTTTATTTAATTTAATTTAAATCTTTTACTAGATATATTCATGTGGAGTCTTTATAACGTCATGTAGTATTAGTTAAATCGGCACATTGTTTTCTCTCTGGAAGATTTCTCAAAAGAATCCGTATTTCTGACTTCTTTTTTAAGTATATATAATTTTATGCGAAATATACCTATATATA